TGTGTAGGCTTCTCAAAAACCTCTTCTTGATCAAATCCTTTTTTAGACTCCTGTTCTTTGTATGAGCGATAGAAAACAGACCTGAAAAAGCCTCAGTCTACAGCTGAACGATTCATGATAACAGAGTCTTCTTGAATATATCCAGCGTATGATGCAATGGCCACAATTGAGTTGATACCTGCTGGCAACTCTCTAAATCGAAGATATTCCATAGACCGTGTAGTCACAAGTGGTTTTTGAGGATAATAAAAAACATGGGCCAATGTGTCCATACGTACATGGAAGTTGGTGATATACACTCCCATAGCCTGCTTACCCGTAGCAGACTGGTATGTGTTTCTAGGGGATTGGTTATGGTCAGGAAAGGGAATAATAGATGCACAAACACCAAGAATCATTGATGGATGAATCTCACAATGAGTATATGTGGAACAATAAGCAACTTCTTTTTTTTTAAATATTTATTTATTTAGTTTTCGGCGGACACAACATCCTTGTTTGTATGTGGTGCTGAGGATCGAACCCGGGCCGCACGCATGGCAGGCGAGCGCGCTACTGCTTGAGCCACATGCCCAGCCCCAATAAGCAACTTCTTTCTCCTGTAAATCATCTGAGGTCATTGCAAGCATCACTGTTTCTTCTTCTAGAGTATCTATATATTCTGCTACCCTGCTGGCCACAAGATTCTGCCAACTGTAGTTGTTATATTCTCTCTCTTTCAATTGGTCAATATGTCTCTTCTTTAAAAGTAGCTTTTGTTTTTCCACAATCAGAAGTGGTCTACAAATACGGCCTGCATCGGTATAGATCTGAATCTCCCTCTCTCGAATATCTCTGATCATAGAAACTTCAGACACAAATGATGTCCATCTGACGCCGTAATTTCCTTAGGCTGTTCATAAGTTGTTCAGGATCTTTCTGTATTCCAACCCAGCAGCCATTAACAAAAATCTTAGTCGCATCAGCAATAGCTGCAGGAGAAATTTCTTCTAAATTTTCCATACTCCATTCTTCTAAAAATTCCAGAATTGGAGAAGGTTGAGATCCAACTGAAATATAAGCCATCAGTGCTAAATTCTTCACAAGTCCTACAGCATGGCCCTCTGGAGTCTCAGCAGGACAAACCATTCCCCACAATGTATTATGCAACTGTCTTGGTTTTGCTAGCTTGCCATCTCTACCAATAGGAGAATTTAAACGGTGCAGATGAGAAAGAGTAGATGCAAAAGCCAGGTGGTTTAATACCCGAGATACTCCAGCTCTGGCTTGATGAGCTTTCTTTTGGTCATCCCAGTTTCCAGTAGCTAAAGAATATTTTAAGCCATCAGATATTATCCGCGTTTTAATAGCCAACTCCAAGTTAAAGTCCTTTCCTCGATCAATAAACTTTTGTGCATAGATTCGTACTTCTTTTAGTAAATTCTTAAACATACCTCTAAATAAGAATGCAAGTAGTGGCCCAGCAAGATCCAATCTTTTGTTTCCATAGTGACCTCTGTCATCTAGTTCTCTTCTACCCAAAGCTGCCAGAAGTAACCTATGAACCATATATCCCAAGAAATATGCTTTTTTTGGTCTCACAAAAATCACTAACACCAGCATGAGGAAGCATTTCTTTTTTGTAAAACTTCTTTTGCATACTTAATTATTTTCTCTTTAGTAATGCCAGGCTTTGCTCCTCTTGAACCAATGAAATTTAATGCAACATTTTGTTCTTGAATGACAAAAGCTTCATCAAGTGAAGGTTTAACCATTTCCATCATTTCTGGATCTTCAAAATCCATAAATAATATGTTCTAGGATATCTCTATCAGACACAAAACCTAATGCTCTAAACACAATAATGATGGGAACTTCTTGCTTGATATATGGTAGAGTTGCCAAGATGCGCTGACCAATAGCACTCTTTTTTTGCACCCTGCCCTCTTCTTGCCAGCATGCTAACCCATATAGTACTGGTAGGTCGGAAAGAATTCTCCAGACATGACCTACACTCTCCTGTGTAGGCATATTTAGAATCCTTTTTGGCAAACACATAAACTGTGTTTGTTGCCATTTTCTCTTGGGCAATCAGAACCTTTTCAGCTCCATTAATAATAAAATAGCCACCAGGATCCAAAGGGCATTCATTTAACTCACAAAGATTATGATCTGTTAAGCCATTCAATAGGCAGTAAGTTGAACGCAACATAATTGGAATTTTTCCTATAAAAGTTTTCTGATGCTGAGTCTGAAGTTGTTCTTCACCTTCTTTAATGACTGTTTTTGTTATGTCAACATAAAGTGGAGCAGAATACGTGAGATTTCTTAATCTGGCCTCATTTGGCATCATTGGTGAAGGAGCACCATCTCTTTTCCAATGGGTAGGCTTGGAGAGGTAAATTTGTTCAAATTTTAACAAATACCTTGGCTGATTACAATCCAGCATGCTTCTTGCCATAAATCTGGGGTGATTTCATCATCATCCTCATCATATTGCATATTCTCGTCTGCGTCATACATATTGGCAGAAGGCTTTGGAGCTCCTAACTCGAGAAATCAAAGATAGATACACAACAGCCACCAGTCCATAGCCCATGTCTTAAAGGGTCAGTAACAGATTCAAAAAACAGACAAGAGAGGATCACCAAAACCCGGGCTGACAGATAGGAACCTTTAAAACAGACAGACCTGTACATACAAATTTCTTCCACTTATTCTACCTTTGACAGACCAACTTGCCATGACATGCAACTAAATCAGTCAGTGTCACTCCAGGTGAATTTGGGTTGGCACAAAATAAATTATACACAGACAGACAGAAAATACCTTTTTCTTTGTGTTCTGTGATGGCTCTCGACCTTAGGGGTCCCTTGGAAAGAGATAGCATCACCTGAATTCTTTATTCTTATATAGGGGGACTGACAAAGGGAGGTTCCATGGAATGTTCTCTACAAAAAAGGTCAGGGGTAGTATTACAAAGGAACAAGAAGGCAGCCACTCCCATTGGGTAATGCCCACTCCCAATCTGCTGATCAAAGTTGGGATCCACCTGCTTCCTGGTGAGGGAAGCCAGTCTCCACATTTCCATTGCTCGCAGCTAGGTGGCGCTCAGCTCCTATGTGGCAGCTCCTGACACCAACTCCAAATGCAAGATTTGTATAATAATCCAGAAAGCTATTAAAAAACTATTTCAAAAAGCTATTCAGATTATTACAGTAAAACACCCCAGACAGGCTTATACCTATAGGTGGCCCTTTTCTTCAACTTGCTTTACCTCTGACAGACCAACTCTAATTGCAAGATTGTAAAAAAGACACACAGAGAGACAACCAGAGAGGAGCCTCCAAACCATGGCCAAGAGTTGGAAATCTTTAAAACAGACCAACCAAGACCTTTCTCATGAGACTACCTATAGGGTCAATGTAGTATCGGCTATGTCTTGAAAGGGGCAGTAACAGATACAAACAAAACAAAAACACAGACAATCAGAGGGATTTCCCAAACCCAAGGCCAACAAACAAATGAGAACCTAGAACCTAGATCATACCAGAAGGGAGTAAATATCCCTAGGTTCTTGAGTCCTCCTTCACCTGGGCTCCTATGCCAGTGGCACCAGAAATATCCTCCCGAAAGAGGGTGAAAAATCAGCTTCTACCTCAGAGCAAAGCCTGTCCAAAGAAGGGGGCATGACCCTTGTCCTTGGAAAGACCCACAAAGCACTGCTAGGCACATACCCACCCTGCTGAGTTGTTTATCTACAAATAACCGGAGAGATCTGCAGAGCCAGGTGGCCCTGACTCAGGCTAGGTGAGGACCCATAGCAACCCCCCTAGCAACCTCCAATCAGCATGAGACATGGGAAAATACCTGGGATGCCAGATGACCCCCCCAGTAGTTTATGGTGGTTGATAACATGTTGGGAAACCATGTAGTTCAGTACATAACACCCCTTGTGGCTTAAACCAATCAGTTCAAATGAATCCCCCTCTTGTACTAACCAATCACCCCTACCCAACTTGTTCCCACCAGTGATTGTGCTAATCAATGTTAAGAGTTGTTGTTTGATTTTCCTGCGGTGTGTGATGATTTGCTAAGAGATGCTATGATGTATGTGGGGTCCCTGCCTTCCCCAAAGAGTGTATAAAACTGCTGCAAACCCTGGGCTTGGGGCCTCTCAGCGTCACCAGTTGCTTGCAATAAACACCTCTTTGCTGGTCTCTGGTGGTCTTTTGGGAGTCCCGAATTCGAGCATATCAGGAACCAGACATTCCCACAAAGAGTAACCATGTTACCGCTGTTTACCAGTGACGACTCCTTGCTTCCCCGAATGCTGAAGTATAACACCAGAGAAGCACACCAAGGCAAGTGGAGAGTGGAAAGTGGAAGGCTTTATTAAAGGACAGCAGAAAAGACTTCCTCCTGGAGGAAGAAGGGGTGGTCTTCCTTTTTTTTATATCTAAGGTCTTCTATTAGTCCTCCCACACTCCTGTCCTTTGTTTCCCTTTATCTCGAAGTGATAGAACGCATGTGGGAAGGCCAAAAGGTGGGAGATAGGCGGACCATATGGCAGAGGAGTAATCTGGGCAGGAAGGGCAGGGGTGGTTTGATTAGCACCTCCCAGTTTGCTGGGAGCTACTTCATTAACAGTTCTTTAGGATGGGTTCTGGGCTTGGGGACATTAACATTTCAATTTCCACAGGTGTTGTTCTGGTTTCCTGGACTCCATTCTCCATAATGGTCTCCGTTTTCTTTATGGTACTTGATATCAGACCTGATTTACCTAACTACCTATCTTTAAATCTGGCTTCAACCAAATGTGTGGAATCAAGGATCTCAGTATGCACACCAGGGGACTTACCAGATAGCCAAGGTTTTTGCGACTTTCCTGAATTCAGTTTCTTTTTTCTCAAAGTGGACCATGGTGGAGCAACCTGTTGAGGGAGAGAAGGTGGGAGTTCCCTGAAGCAAAAGGAGCTTCTGCAGCTGCTGCGATAGTCCCTTAGTGCCTCCCTTAACTCACAGGAAAGCGCCCCCAGTTCCACCTGAGGCAAACCCACCCATCTCCCAACTCTCCTGCAGTTGGCTCTCAACAAGTTCACCAGCACCATCAATCTTCAGCATGAAAGTGGGGTTTCTTGGAGAGCCAGGCCTGCCCAAGGAAGCTGGAGCAGGACACATGACTAAATCAGTCAGGGTCATTCCAGGTGAACAGGGCTGGCACAAAATAATCACGCAAAGAGAAAATGCCATTTTTCTTTGGGTTCTGTGATGGTTCCTCTGACCCAGCTCCCGAGGCAGGCAAGAAAGAGAGAGGGGCACGCCTCAAACCCAGGTTTTATTGGGGGAGGCTGTTTGAAAGAACATTCCATCCATATAAGGCAGAGGGGTAATGTTACAAGGGGCAGCCCACTCCCATTGGGTACCGCCCACTCCCAAAGCTGTGCTCCTCTGCTGAGCAGAGATGGGGATCCACCTGCTTCTGGATCAGGGAAGCCAGTCTCCACATTTCCATCCCTCAAAGCTTGGATCTTTTGGAGCTCCATCATCATATTCAAGATATTCAAAATAATAGAGCTGATTTTTCGGATCCCTCTTCCTTAGCTAATCAAATACTAAAAGAATTAAATGCCTTTAACCTCGGAAACATTCTTAAACTCTCTCGGCCTGGAACATCTTTGCATTGCTCTCTTTGCTGTTAATTCTTTTTTGTGTTGTAATTATAGGATAGCAAGTCTTCAAAGCAAGAATTTGGGGGCTCGAGAAAGTAAATCATGACCTGCTTTTCAAAGAAAGAAGGGCGAATATGTGGGAGGCCATCCTTGCACGTGATTGAGTTACCACCCCCGCTGGGTGTGAGGCGCTCAGACACTAGGTGTTAGAGCTTTCCCCACCCTTCGTGGGCCAAGGGCTGGCCTGCATGGAGGCGAGCCTCACCACTGCCCTTGAAGATCCAATCATCTGACCTTGGAACACTGCCCCTCTTGACCTTCATTGGATGGGATTTTCCCTTGAATTTTCTGTTCCCCAATAAAAGCCCTCTCCCTGGTGTGTTCTCTCTCTCTCACTAGCCTCCTCAGTAAACCTCGCTATTTTCCTGGGTAGCTTGAAGCTGGGGGTTTGAGGAGCCATCCTGGAGCTGGTTTAAAGGTAATTGAAGTCTCTGTCTTTAATTTAAACACCCTGAGGATTTTCCCATGTGGCAGAGCCGTTCATACTGTCTGCGCTGGCCACGGACTAAACTTATTTTTGTCTTCATAGGGACTCTGAGAAACCAGGCAGTTACTGTCCTGGTTTCACAGATGGAAACACCCAGGCTCCGATAAGCCAAGCAAGTTCATGTTTGCAAAACAAATAAGGACTGAAGTTGGTACACAGCACCAAGTGTATTTACATTACTCTGGCTGTTTAGGAGGTCGTGAAAAACTTTGAGAGGGTAAATCCAGGTGTGCAGTGGGAGCGAAAGCCACACTGTGGAAGATGTGTAGGCAGGTGGAGGAGGCCACAGATTTGAGTGATGTTGACTGTCAGCACTCCAGGTGTGACATGTCAAGCCTCAGCTGTACCTTCTCCAGGTACTTGTTCCTGGTGAGCTGCTTCTCCCTATTCTCAGAGATGATTATAAGCCTTTACTCATACCCTGTTATAATTTAGATGTGAGATGTCCCCCAAAGCTCATGTGTAAGGCAAGACATCATGACAAAAGAATGTGGCAGAGGGAAGCAGCTCACATTATGATCAGAAAGCAGAGAACAAGGTCTCCACTTGCCAGATTGAGACCTCTGAAACTGTCAGCCCCAAAATAAACCTTTCCTCTTTTACAATTGTTCTGGTTGGGTTCTTTAGTCACAGCAGCAAAAAAGCTGACCCTCTAATGAACCATTACAGCTCATTTTCCTTTTTTTATTTTTAGGACCAGAAATGAACCTCATGGCACTTAACCACTGAGCCACATTCCCAGCCCTTTTTATTTTTACTAAGGCTAAGTTACTCAGAACCTCACTAAGTGCTGAGGCTGCCTTTGAACTTGCAATCCTCCTG